AAAATCGTACAAAGTAATTTCTCTTTTTCAAAACGTAATTGCACATAGAAAAAATCAACATGTTCAGAAATTGGTACGTAAGAAATAAATCGAAATATTCTACTGGTTTGGATATGTTCGGTGGCAAATGTTTAGGGCCGGGTATTTCCGAAAATAACGGGCGCGGGTTATATTGGCTATCGTTTTCAACATTTACTTTCCTGAAATTCGTGAAAGATTCACTCCGGCATATACAGACCCTCGGCACGAAACAACATAAGATATAACAAAAAGTTGATCTAATAAACATTTTTTCACTTCTGTTGCATCGAATATGAACCATTTTAACATTTTATGAAGTTATACTTAAACACAGATCGTTTGTGATGAGTATTATTGGATTATTTTCTCTCATTTGAATACTCAGAAGTTTTTCCTTCTAGCATATAAGTTACAAAAACGAATCGACGCCGAGAGTCTCGCCAGAGTACCATTAGATAAACAATGATTTCATATGTATATAGAACAGAGTGCTCTTTGTCTTTAGGTGACGTTTTTGGTTTCGTCTTTGTGAATAGTCTTCAGTCTCCTGGAGCAATCAGGAGAGTAAAGACGGTCCTTCCTCGTACATCAAATTAATAAACTAAAAGGGATAAGTTTAATTCACTGTGTTTTACTTTTATTTATCTACCCATTTCCAATAAACGTCATATCTTATTTTATTTTTTTTTGGCGTTCTTTATGCCTGACATATACAAGAAACGTCGAAATAAATCAAGTCGTCTTTCAAGCCGTGAAAAGTACTTCAGGCGAATACCGAAATCATTTTGGAAACTCGGAACTCCTCTTCCCAAATTGTCCATTTTCGTTTACAAGCTGAAGGAAAATTTGGGATAATTTACTGTACCTTCAAGGTATGAGAAGTTAATCCCATTTTAGCACAAGTTCTATACAATTTCATAGATCTATCCATGCAATCGATTTCATGCAACGATCAAGATAAAACGTTAAAACCGACAGTTTTCTACTTGCTAGATATGTGGTAGTCTCCTTGGAATCGTGTAGACTCCAAACAATACACAGACTTTCTTCTTTGATGTGTCTAATCTTCTTCTATTTATGTGTTTACACCGCTAAATTGTACACGGTAGGTTTAAGGTACCGAATATTCTTGTCTAAAGACGTGCCATGCTTTACATCGGCAGACGGTAATCTTTCTTTACCGCGAATTTCACTCCTGCTTGTCGATTTCATCTATTTCATGCTTTATAATCGCCAAGGAATTAACGACGTCAAAGCCGTTAGCAGAGAGAGAGAGAGAGAGAGAGAGAGAGAGAGAGCACGAGGCATCAATCTTTACCGATCAATTTTTCGCGATCAATTTTTCAGCATTCCAACGCAAGAAACCGAGGGAAAGAAGAGAAGAGAACGAAAGAGGAGAAGTACGCGAGGCAGAATTATATTGCCATATAAATATCACCTCGACTTCCCAATTGTAATTACAAAACCATCAACCGGTGCCGCGTCGTTCGCGTCGTCCGCGTCCCTATCATTAAGACCGGCCGTCACGAGTCCCGCCGAATGTTTACAGAGAGCCCGGCGATAACGAGCGCGAGGCTCGTCAGGAGGGAAATAAACCGCGAAAAACGGTTTGATTTATGAGCAGTGCTCGTTCGTATCCGCGGAACAAGCTTTTCACTTAGCGCAATCAGCGGATTGGGCCCGACCGGGGCATCGAAATTCGCGTGTAACCGAGCCGGCCGCACCGCTGAATAACCCGATTCGACGGCCACTTCCGATTAAGATAAACGATAGCCGGGTCAATTAAGCAACGGCCAATTAGGTAGGAGGCGTTCGACGAGGCGGCGCGACGCGGCGTGGGGCGCGAGCGGGTCCACTGGCAAAGAGGCGAGCGGGTGAAAGGGTAAGCGGGCAGTTCGAAGGAGGAAAGAAGCCAGAGAGGAGCTTACCTGCGCTGTGAAGAGGCGGCTGATGGAATTTGAGTTCGGCGGTTAGGTGCCAGCTTCCTGGCGCCGCGAGCTGCAAACCGATCCCGAGGAAATGAACGAGCGCCGAGCAAGTCACGATCACGTATCCCCAGCCACCCTCCGGGTAGTAATGCCTCCTCAGGGTAGCCTCTTTCCGGGCATCGTTCGTCGATCGACAGAGCGGCTCGCCGTTCCTCCTCCGGCCGCGCTTGTCCCTCTCCTTGCACCTATTCCTGGTGGATCCAATTAGACCGGTCGCTCCTATTCTCTGCCAGCTGGTTCTCATTTTAGCCTCGACCGCGGAATATTTACGTAGCGTTTCCGCTTTACCGGAACCGGCGACCCGGCACCGGCCCTCCCTGACCAGGTTACTTTCGTCGGCCGGCGCTGCCGAGCGGAAAGGGTCGAACCGCTGCTGCAGCAGCAGACCCTCGGAAGTGCACTTGGGACAAACGTGTTGCGGTCTCGCCGCTGCCGCAACGGAGGATTTCAGAGGAGTCGTATTTCCCGGGATTTCGATAGCGAAGCTCTTCCCGGCGGTCGCATCTCGGGACGAGCCGGCTCGATCCTCCCGCGGCTCGATCTGAACGATGGTCTTCGACGCCGGGGAATCCTCTTCCGAGTCTTCGAGCGCGCTTTCCTGCGATGGAGTCTCCCGGAGGTTTCTTCCTCCGTTTTCGGCGCGTTTTTCGTCGATCGAGTGGCCCGATCTCATTCCCTCCGGAGCAGCTCGTTCCGCTTTCAGCGCATCCGAGTGCTCGTCGGACGAAAGGCTTCCCGCGGTCTTGCTTCCTCGATCCTCGGCGACATCCTTTACCGAACTTCTAGTCGCGGTGTCCGGTACAAAAACACGTAGCTCGAAGGTATCGTCTAGTTTCTTGCAATCCTTCCGTTCCGGGACACGTTCGGCGACTCCGGTCTCGTCGACGAACCGGTGTCCCGTCTCCACGGGCTTCGAACGACCATGATCGAGGAGCACGATGTCGTCGATCCAGCCGGGCTTCGCTGCGGCCAGCAGAGGATCGAAGCTCCCGCGAATCGTCGGGATGATCGTAAAAGCGCGCGACAACGGGTCGACGCGTACTTTCACCGTCTGCGGAGCCTGGTCCGGCCAGGAGTTGCTGTGTCTCATGCTCTTGCGATCCTCCTCGCGCACCGTCATCTCGCGATCTTCCTATTGGAAACCGCGCGCGAATCGAGGACCCGGGAATCTCGGCTTCCTCGTCGGCGAGCCGAACAGCTTGCGAAATTCTTTCGATCTAATCCCCGACGTGTTGGACGAAAGGGTTGTCTCCCCGCGTATGAACCCTCCTCGGCGACCGGTGTTGCCTTCGAGATGATCTTTGCGAACAGAACACTGCTGACCCTCGCCGAGCGAATACATCTTCTTCGACGGTCACACCGCAAACTCGCACACCAACGCAGCTGCCGGACGGTGTTGACTTAGTTCGGATACGGGAGAACGAGGACGCGCGACACTGGTTCCGCGGCTTTCCGGCACGGTGTGAAAAATATCGTTCGAAAAGGAAGGTACGGTCCTGGCGAGTGCGCCAGGATGACTGCTACGCACGTGCTGCTCACTTACGAGCAACCCTCTCCTCTCGCTCCCTCTTTCTCCCTCTTTCTCCCTCGTTCTCCCTCTTTCTTCCTCTTCCGCTCTCCCCTTCTCGAGCTGTCTCCCTCTTCCCAATGGCGGGCGCATGCCTGCGATATTCGACGAATCGCGAGGCCCCCGCGCCAAGGGTTCTTTCTCATTCGAGATTCGACGCATTCCCGAGAATCACGTGCTAATGAGAACCGGCAAAAAGCAACCGCGACACCCCGTCGGACGATCGACGAGCTCCGCCGTTTTCGGTGATATGTAACCCCCGGCGGCGCGGCGCGACACGGTAATATGCAACGCGGGACGCGCGCCGCCGTTGCCGCGCTTCGATCCGCGAAGCGAAATCGCGGGGCGAGATCGTAAAAGGTCCCAATAAAATTCGTAACTTCGGGCCGGCCGTGTCGAGCGACGATGTTTGCCTGACGTTCGGCGATCATTATCTAGAATCTTTATGCCCCGTTCGCCGGGGATCTTTGCGCCTCGCTGCTTCTCGTCTCAACAATGTTTCGGGGCTGGCAGCAAAGAGTCGCGCGCTTTCTTGACAGCGATCTCGGAAAAGTGGAATTTTTATGAGCCGGAAATTTTGCGGAGGAACGTTTGATTCAATGCTGCTGAGAACATGTCGGCGAAGTTCGGAATGCTACATTTCGTAGCGGAAAGCTGGCGTCTCGAAAAGCGACGTTTAAATGACTTTTAACTGACGATTTGCTTGGTGTTTTCGTGACATTTCGAACTGCTCAAAATTTTCGAGTTATTCCGTACGTTCTACAAATTCGCAAACCGCGTTTGCTATGAGACACCGATCCACCTAGGTCGTACTCAGAATTTTGTTTGGTAATATGCGTTTTTGTTTAACTTTCTTTGCGATTTTTTTTTAAATGGAGATTATATAACACCTTGTGTAGTCACATTTGCAAGGTTTTTTTATGCTTCAATAATACTTAAACATTTTTTGGATTAACCCTTAAATGCATAGAGTCCCAAAAATGAATGAATAACTTTTTGCGCGGATACCCGACAACAGTTTTGATATCGATACATTTGGCTGAATGGCAGTGATTCCTTTGTCCATTGACTTATCAAAAATTAACTAAAATAATGACATTTGACTTCAATATTTGTATCTTTCTGACGTTATACCAATTGGCGCGCATTTTTGATAGCGGGTTCATTTACGTACTCTTTTGGAAGTGGATTATTTAGAAATATTTTGGTGTATTCGTTAAACAAACAATATTTTCTAAAGGTAAGGCTCTTATTTATTAATTTGCTAGTACTTTTGTCTATATTCCGTAACTATCATGTGTATGGAGGGCTTATTTCGTGTTGATGCAAAAATGGGACAACATGCACTAATGGTAATAATTACGACATGTATTTAGTACTATGCTTCCTTTATTGGTTTGTTGGTTTTGTTTTGGTGTGGTATGCATGTGGTTTATAATTTTGTTATAGATATGTCATACTAACTAAAGAATTTTTATGTCTATTTTGCATAGTGTACCAAAAATGAATCATTAATATTTTTCAATAAAAACCCTATAAGATATGACTTATAA